CATGCTATGTGCAAATCAAAATAAGTGTCAACTGAAATATTTGGCAAAGCCAGGGTTTAAAATGCTGGAAATCGTGACTTGAAAAGCCATCAGAGGAGCAGTGGGCTCTCCCTGTCCTCCTGTAATGTGCTACACCAGTTTCTGTGCCTGCCTGCAATTGAAGCATGTGCTGTTTTCCCTGCTTACCACTGATTGATTTTTTTTTTTTTTAATTATTTTTTCTTCCTGTTTGGAGTCTTTACGCATAGAACTGCTGTATTTAACCATTGAACCCTGAGCATCTGCCTGGGGAAGAATCCATTTGTTGGACTACTAAATCTTCATGTCCTGAAGTAGTTAAAAAGTAGCTGCTGCAAGACCCAAAGCTCTGCTTTCTCTTCCAGTCTTCCCTCTGCTCCTCAGGGATGCTGCAGTTGCAACACAGCTCATCAGAGGAAGGTTTCCCGTGGGTCCTTTCCCCATTGGGGATGGGCTCTGCCCTTCCAACCCAGGGTTTGCTCTGCAAGGATGAGGTCTGTAAGGAGCTGCAACGGGCTTTGCCCTGTTGCTTTGCTTTATTCTCTTATGTAGCCTGTACTATTTAGTCCTTTTAGTCCTTTCCTGAAAATGCTTTTTTTTGGGGGGCAGGGCGTGGGAAGACCAGAGTGAATGGGTGAAGAGGAGCCTCCTTGTTTCAGTGTGTTTTTCTCTGAAGAAAATATAATGTTATCCTTGTTAGGACAAACTAATTGATTTTTGGCTGACTTCCATTTTTCAGTGTTAGTGTTTCATGTGTCACCATCTCTGTCTCTCTTCTATATTTTATCTCTTCGTGTAAACCTTGTGTTTATTTCTTGGCAATTATGCATGCCTGGAGGAATGTAGTAAATTCTACGACTACATTGTCCTCAATATATGTATACATTTTTACCCCCCAAAAATTGCTTATGCAAATATGTTGATAAGAAAAGAAATATGTAGTGTAGCTCTTCTCCTTCATGAATGTTGATGGGTTTCTGTAGCAAGAAGCTTCTCTCTCTGCCGTCAGAGCAGCTGTAAACCTACTGCAAAAGATAATTTCAAGACATTTCCTGTTCATATCCACTCTTGTGAGTTAGAAGAGAAAAGGGAGGTGCCAGCCATGCTCTGTTGATGCTCCTCGGTAACTTGTCTCTCCATTTTAGTCCTGGCTCCTGATTGTCTTTGCAGTATATGTATTAACTTTACTATAGCCTGCTTGGGGGACTGGCCATGTCCGTGGACAACACAACCCCAGGCAGGTGGCTCCGTCCTCTTACACCATTGCCCTGTGGCTCCCCGGGGTCCAGCCTTGCCATTCCTGGCAGAGGTCTGTAGCCCCTTCACAAATGTCCACAGTGGTGGTCCAGCATCACGCCTGGATCTGCTTTTTTGGGCTCGAAGGCCGTTGCGAGTTTCCCCTCGCTTCCTTTGCCTTGCGGCACTTTCCCAGCATTAATGCCCGCTCGGGGCAGTGCTCCTTGCCCCGGCTGTAGGATCTGCAGAAATCAGGCAGGTTTTGCATTGCTGTGCACCGGTGCCACGTCTGTAGGGAGCGACCAGTGGTGGGACCATGGGGACTGGAGCTTGGGGACCAGAGCCCAGGGACCCTGGGAGCATGAGCTCTGAGGGGAAGGTGTGCGCTGGCTGCTGTGTCATCTCACTGCTCAAGCAAAGCCCTCGGGGAGGGCGAATTTGTCTTTCCAGACAACACAGCCTGGCTTCAGAGCCAGCTGGAGGAGTTTTATTACTTTTTTTTTTTATGATGCTAGCTTTAGAAAAAAAAAAATGAGGGAAGGATTTCGGCCATTTGTCTTTTGTCAGGGTGTTTATCACCTTAAAGGGCTTAACCAGGTAGTGAAAAATTCAGTAAAAACCCCTGACTGTATTAGTCGGAGATAACACTGATGTTTAGCATTGGCTTGCCTGTTATATGGATGTTGTGAAACTATTTTGAGTCTTAAATCTTTTATCTCTGGAATAATCACAGAATTGTTAAAATGCAATCTGTAAATCTTGTGGGCAATTGAAGCTGTTCTCCCCCACCCCATGTTTGTCTGTTTTTTTCATTCCTCAGCAGAAGTAATTGCTTTCCATGACCCACTTAAAGGATTGCTCCCATTTCTTCGTGTTTTATAGCTGTGCTATTGCAGCACTAAAAGTATTTAATATTATTCGATCTACTTTTGTAATGGAACGCAGGCAGCTTTCATTTGGTTGATCTGATGGGAACAGTATAGTCACCTGCAGCGGGCGGCCTCCAGCCTTAATAGCTCCCTTGTGTTAGGGGCTGTGTGTTCAGATGCAGTCAAAATTAAACAGCTCAAAACCTCACTTTGCTGATCTAGCCGAAGTTCAGGACACAGCAACACACGTGGTTTATGCAAGCCTGGAGGGTTTTATCCCCCAAGGGAGCGGTTTTATCCCCAGGAAGGCATACGTAGTGCTTCATGCTAAGGGGAACAAGGGGTGAGGGGAAGAGGGCAGAGGTCCCTTCCTGCCACTCACCAAGCCACCTCTCCTCATCCCACCTTGTTCAGGAGCACAACCCGAAAGCTGGTGGGTCTGGACATGCTGCCTGGGGGCCAGCTGCATCCTTGCTCGCTGCACTGCGTGCTTCCTCTGGTGGCCCCTGAAAGCTTTGCCCAACTCCAGCTGACGAGGACTTTTGGGGACTGGTGTTGGGAGATTTCCGTCTGCTGCTAGACTCATCAAAGGTCACTAACACCATAGAACAGCTGATGTGGTGAGATACAGCCACAGCATGATACGGGGGGAAAAAAGTATTTTGCCTCTAAAAAGAGAGAAACCATCTGATTGTGCCCCAGAAACTCGTGTCAGGCTCTCATCCCTGTACGAGACGACTTCTGCCCTCGGCTGGGCAGTGACAGAGTTATACTGATGTTGAAGCTGCTGTGGATGATGAAAGCACCAGCACTGATGCCAGCCCATTCGTAGGATGATGTTTTTTACCATTCATTCCCAGTTAAACCAGTCGTGATTGCAGCTGCATCACCATTGACTGGCTTGACACAGTAATGGTCTGAGCAGGGCTTCAGCTGGAAATGGTTCTCAGTATCTCCTGCAGCTAGTAGTACACTGTTTACGTGCATTTTTTGTAGCGTTAAGATTCTGGAGAGGCAGATATCGACACCAGTGTTTGGGTTGGGGGTGGTGGATGCAGTCCATACCCTCATTTCAGCTGGTCTCCTGAGCCACTCTTGACGGCAGGGTTAATGGCTCATGGCAAGCTCCCCCTTCCATCCTGAGATTAGAGCATTCTGTTGGTTTTCAAGAAAACAGGCTTTACCGAATTACCTATTCAGTTGAGTTCAAGTCTTGATGGCTTTTTTGGTTTTTATGTGCTAGATTTGTCTTAGTTGGCCTCAAGGCTACCTAGGGACCCATCTGATGTGTTAGCAGTGGCCCATACCCATCGTGGGAATAAGCTCAGCAGTTTGTGTGCTAAACAACTCTCCCATGTGCCATGTATGTTAAAACCTTTGCTGGATCCTCTGAGTTGAGGGGTTTTTGCCCTTAATTTGTGTGAGAATTTGCTGAGTGTTAGTGTGTTGAATTGGGGGTGGGGGGAGCAAGGAGCCTTATGCATGGTGTGAGCTTGTCACCTAGCACCTCCGCATGCTTTGGGAGGGAAGCTCAGGTCTCCTGAGCCTGGATCCTGTTGAGGACCCGCCGCTTCACAGGCAATACGTTGTCTCCTTTGCTATGGCTTTGCTTACGGCCGCGCGCACTGGGAAGGAGGTGTCGCCTTGGTGAAATATGGTCTCTGCGTTAGCGTATGAAGAATGAGCATCGGACAAGTTTATTTATGGCAAGACTTGTTCCCCACTGTTATGACTCTGCAGTCTCACATCTCTGCTCTGTGTGGAGGATGACTCCTGCAAGAATTTGCTGTAATTACGCAGGCAGCAATAGATTAGCATTAGCAATGTTTGATTGCAAAATTTTGCAAGTGTCAGCAGTTTTTCCAACCAAAAAAGCTTTTAGCTCTTGGGCAGAAAGTCAAGTGCCATTTTAAATGCATAGCCATCAGGTTTTTGAAAAAAGCAGGGAGTCAGTCTGTTTTCCCTCCTTTTTTTTCTTTTTGGTTGAAGTGCGTAATAAGCTCTTAGCTCAGATAAATCCTAATTGAGGATTCAGTCAAGGCTGTTGCTAAATTAACAGAGCAGGTCTGCTAGACAAATGCAGCTTCAGCTTGTCAAAATAAGCAATTCTTAAAATTCTCACATGAAAAGAGGATTCATGTCATTAAACCTTTTTATCTTCCCCTGTTCCCAAACACAGCCCTCTTGCCCCTTTCAAGAATCGCCCAAGTCCATCCCAGTCACCACAGCACATGGTTCCAGTGTTGCTCCCATACCATTTTGCCAGGCTGTGGCTGCCCTGGAGTCAGTGTCATGTGCTCCGAACAGGGGCTTTGGTTGACCTTGAAATAATCCCTTCATCAAGGCATACCTGGGCATTGCTGTCAAATGTACATGGTTCCTCCAGGGCTCTTTCAGTTCCTCAAACCAAGATCTTTCAGGTATAAGTAACACCTGGGAAGGCTTTGGGTTGCAGTGTGGAAGCATTCCTCCTGGCAAAGTGGGGCTGAAGTGGTTGGTAGGATCTGGTAGTTTGAAGGGTCCGGCAAAGCACCCAACAGTCAAACCCTCACGGAGATTACCTGCTGGTAGACAGCACTGAATGACTAAAGCTGTAAGAAAAGTGGCCGTCCTGTATCTGTGTGTGGTGTGTATGTGTGAAGTGTGGCTCAGAAACAGTAAGTTCTGGGTATTTGGCCTCCCGAATTTTTTTTCTTCTATTAAAGCAGTTCTCCTACATTAGCTTCTGGGTGGCTTTCCCCTGGACTGCAATGTGGCTAGACACTGAAAACAGACTACAGCTGGGTTTGACATGCACCCAGCTCGCCTCAGCGTACATGTGGTGTTTGGTACTCCTCGTTGCTCCCTGGCTCAGTAACTTGTTTCTTTTCCTTCCAGTTCAAGATCAACGGCGAGTGGTGCACCTGGATCAACTACGACCGCTTCCAGGAGCTGGTGCGAGAACACGAGAGGAGCGGCGGGTCCAAGACTTTCACAGCGGCAGATTACACAGCCAGAACTCCTCGCTGGGCTCTGTTCGGGTCCAGAGAAAGGGGATTCGATCCCTTGGACGTGAGATACCAGCGGAAGAACAAAGCAAGAGACGTCTCTGGGTGCTGAGGTTAAGCTGGGGCTCGCTGAACTCTGGGCTTGCTGACTGCTGAGTTTTGGTCTCCATTTCTAGGCTAACACCAATTTTTAATCTATTCAGCTATATTTTTCTGATGTTTGGTATTGAGAAGAAGGGTAAAGCCTTTATTTAATCCTTCCCTCCTGTTTTTAGGGCTTCTTGGATAAAAATATTTATAATGCTCTTTTATCTAAAGACAAATCACAAATGGTGCATGCCAGCAATTTATTGTAACTGGCAGCACAACAAGGGAGGCAGTGGCTGTGGTCTCTGCAGCAGAGAGTATTTGGAGTTGGATGTGAAGGGGGAGCATTCATTTCATTCTGTGCCCTGCTGCAAGGAGAGCCCGGCACATGCCGGCATCCAACTGGGCAGCAAACTGTTCCACATCCATAAGGATAAGTGCCGAGGGGATTCAGGCTGGTTGGATTTGTGCAGGTGGGACTGCAGAAGGATCTGGATCTAAAAGCCTGAGCCCTGCTCGAAGTATCTTTGTACAGACAGTAATAAAAATGTATGTATTTTAAACACTGGTGCCAACTCCTATAAAGACCCCAACAAGCTGAAGCTTGGGAATTGTGTAAGTAACAGCACTGCTCTTAATATCGTCTGCAACTTCTGATATCTCTCCAAATATTTTCCAACTTCATGGGTTTGGCAATGAATATTTTCAGAGTAGTTTTATCCCACTCCCCCAGCAGCCCTAAACAACACCTACCACTCTTCAAAGCCCCTTTAGGCTGCTGCTGTGTGTGTCCGGTGTCCTGCTGATGGTGAGGACGTGCTGTGGGGAGCCAGCAGGCTTGGGTGTCAGCACGTGGCTTCCTTCGCTCCGCATGGGCAAGCCAACAGGGTTGCTGCTGGTTCGGTCGGAGGTGGTCAGCTGGTGTAAAGGAAAGCTGAATCCGGTTGAGATCTCTGGTGTCAAGAAACCAACTCTTAGTTCAGAGAGGTGACATCTAGGCACGAGGTCCAGTGACATGTCCCCGAGTGTTGCTCTCGGAGACCCTGGGCTGTGCCTGGCACTCTGGAGGTACTGCAGCCTGGCTGAAAAGTTGCATTTAAATGGGAGGGGGGGGTGGGTTCTTGGGAAAATCCCCACTTTCATGTGTCAGTGACCTTTCCCTTTCTGTTCATGCAACACCCACGTCGGCTGCAGCCCCTGACAAGTTGTAAGGGATCAGTGTGCAAAGCCCTGGGGCAGACCCCTGATGTCTGGCTGTGCCTTCAGTTGCTGCATGGCTGAACGAGGCTATCAGGCCGCCACTTCCCAGCTAGCCTCCCTGTCTGTGCCCAGCCAGGCTTTTGGGGTGAAGGGGCTGTGGTGTGGGAGCGCAGCAGACAACAGGGCTCCCCTGTTACCTCAGCCTGCTGCATGGTGGCTTGACCTGCTCCAGCTGAAGCCCTTCAGCTGAGGAACCCAACTGAACCAGCTGCAGAAAGAGCTTTAATGTAGACCCAGGGGTGTCAGCTGCTGGTGGGAAGAAAACCAGTCATGCCTGAGTGTTTCTGTTCTCCCATTGAGCCCCAGGAGCACAGATCAGAGGCGTTCACAGCTCTCCCACCTTAACGGTGAGGTCCATAAGCCTGCAGTGCCCAGCGCCCACAGCACTGTGGATAGGACTGTTCTTGAGATTGTGGTTTTTTGTTTTTTTTTTTTTTTTTTCTGAAAATAACTCCCATTTCTTAAACTGTGAAAGTGTTTCTAAAGAAGAAAGAAAATAAAGTCATTTTCCCTCGAGCACCTTTGTTGTCATTGCTGTATGAGACTTTGTAAGAGGGGATGCTGAAGGGATTTTAAGGACATCAGAAGTACAAATGTTGCAGAATATCTTCTTTTTTTCTTGATAGCACATGGAGTGGAAGGGAGAGCAATAGGCATCTGTGGATGATGGAGAGGCCTTGGCTGATGGGAGGCTGTTCTAACAGGTCGGTCACCTGGCTCCTCTCCCCAAAGCACTGTGTGGAGGTTGGAGGTGGTGAAAAGTAGTCACCATGCTTCCTCAGGCCAATGCCAGGCAGGACATAGGTAGCACCAGCAAGCTCTGGGGTGGGACAGGACATTTTCAAGCCATCTGTCCATTATCCTACACTAGAAACCTGACATGGTAACATTGCTGCTTTGTGCACGTTGCATCACCAAAGTCCAGCTGTGGGACTCTGAACCCCGAGGTGTCCACCCCGTGTGATTGCATCTGGCTGGAGGCTGAGCTCGGTGTGCCGAGTGTCCCAGCCAGGCTGGTGACCCTGTGCTCAGGCCAACGTGTGTCATGGCCTGTCTTGAAAGCTGCCATTGGGCTGAGCCAGGCCATGGTCATGGTGAGATCTGATCTTCTAGGATGCTAGTGCTGCTTCCTAGCTAAGATGTGTCCACATGTTTTGTCCTTTACAGCCCCATTCATGGGAGCTGGCAAGTACCAAGCTGAGCTGGGAGGGCACCTGCTTGTTGCCTTCTTCCACCAGAAAATGTCTTTTTTTTGTGTGTGTTCATGGTGATACATTTTACTGTTCAGTGAATGGTGGAGGAAAGACATGGATTCATTAAGGCATTGAAAACTCCAGGTGAGAATCTTTGTGTATTTGGGTCAGTGGTGAACACCTGTCTTCAAGCAAGGTTTCTAAAATGACTTTTTTCTTCCTTTCCTGACCATATTTTCAAAAAATACCTCCTAAATCCCCATGGGAGGTTAATCTTAGGGATTTGATTTCCTTAAGAAACAGGCTAGAGAAAACATGCTGTCCTTCCTACTTGGGGAGAAGGATTTGTCCTGTTCCCACCACGGATTCGCCATAGGCAATCCCGTCCTCTACTCAGTCACTCCTCCCTTCTTTTAGTCATGTTTGACACCAATTAACTCCCATCTGGGCTTTGGGGTGAAGGTTATTGGTGCTGGAAAGCCCAGATGCTCTGTGCTGAAAGATTTGAAGCTGTTAACAGGAAAAAAAAAAAAACATTTACTAGTGAGACCTGTACTCAGACTCCTGCTTCTGATGGGAGGGATGCTATGTGGAGAAGATGACTTCTCAGAAATTCCAAGTGTTAGACCATGTTTGAGTTAAAAACTGTTGTGTTCTGGTCTTATTTTGCAGAACTAATGCAGTCTGAGTAAAAATATCAGGGGTTAGATGCAACTGTCTGAATACAGGTGTTTAGTAGGTGCAGAGACCTCTCCAGCCACTAGCTCTGCTCTGCAAGCCTCTTGGAAGACCTGGATCACATCTGCCAGCCCAGCCAGTTGTCCCAGGGCATCTCCCAAGCCAACAGATGTCTTTTTAGGTAGCAGTCTTCTGTGTTTTCTGATCAGCTGTGGGATTACTGTCATCTCCATTCCTCTGTGACCTCTTGTAAACGTAGAGCATGGGTGCACCTTCCTGTAGCCATGCCTTGGGGAAGGGAAGTTGTTCATGCCTTAAGAAATAAAAGTCCATGGGTATTTCACTGCCTCTTCATTACCAACCTTCCATTGGTGAGGCAAGACATGAGCTTTTTGTGGGACTTTTGTTAACCCTGGAGCATCAGTTGCATGTGGATACAGCTGGAGTTTTGGGCTGGCATGTTTGGTGTCCACCGTAACCCACCATATTCCCCTTGCTGAATGCCAGCTCTTTTGCACCTATTCCTCCTTTCTGGGCCAGACACCTCCATCCTGCACGCACCTCCCTGACAGATGAAGCAGCGTTTCTAAATCACCAGTGTTCACCCCAACCCCTTGCTCATCCACCGTGAGCCCTGGTAGCAGCTGGTGCTGCCCTGGGAGAGGTGGCCCAGGTGCCAGAGGAGCCCTGGGGCTGCTGTGGTGATTAGTTCTTTGTGTAAAATGCTCCATAAAGCCTGACAGCGCCTTCCCATGGAAATCCTAGAGGAGCTCAAAGGAAAACTCCCTGTGTTTTCTCTGTGCTGTGGCATAAGCACTATTTTTTCTCCCAGCCCACCTTGGGACACATACATTGCTGCCGTCCCCATTACGCAGTGATTCTCCACGGGCCATTTGGCTCAGTCAAAATAACTTGGCGCTGTAAGACGCCTCTCCCTGATCCTCCCTGTGTCCTCATGTTACCTCCATTCTTCTCCCTGGTCCTCCCCAACGTGTTCCTGGGCTCTGGGGCAAGTCTGCCCTGAGCGGGTGCTAGTGGCTAGTTTGCAGCCCTGGGGATGGGGCCAACGGGGCCACCGCTGCTGGGGCTTGGTGGAGAGGGACAAGGTGGGTGACCTGCGCTGAGGCCAATGCCCCAGCAGCTGGAGGGAAAACAGCCCCCAAACACCAGGTAGGACCGTAACCAGGGCGGCATCCTGCCCTCTTGTCCCTCCTGGGCTCCGTCTGACATCTGGAAGCTGCTCCGAGAGCAATTTGGGCAGGATTCGCTCCTGCAATTACACCTGAATTGCCTTGCGCTTAAAGCAAGTCTTTCAACGCACGTATCCAAAAGCAATCCTCTTACTCAAGTAGCTTTCAATTGTACAACTTAACACAAATCACCATCTAGAGCTATTTCAGGGACATGCTAAATTGAAGACCCGGCCAGCCAGCACGGGATGCTGCTGTAGCTCCAGCCGTTTGCAGGCCTGCTCTGGGTGTGCTGGGGCCGGGGAGCTTCACTTCTGCTGGAAGGGGTTTTTTACCTGCTGTCCAACAGTATCATTTCATGCTTCACCTGAAATTGCTTCTTTTAGATTTAAAATAGATTGCCACTCACCGGGATGCTTGTGCAGGCTGGAGGTTGTGGTTTCTTTCAGCTTTAATGGTATGGGTTGCACTCTGGAAAAAAAGTGATCTTTAGTTAAATGAGAGCTTTTCTATTCTGCCAGAGATCAGTAAAACATCCCAGTCCAGGAAAACCTCTCTGAAGTCAGGATCAGCCCGTGCTCTTGCGATGGTGATGCTCTGTCATTCTAAATATATTTGACTTAATAACTGCGTAACGCCAACCCATTTTCCATAGACTTTGAACTGGACCAGAGCCACTCTCCAGCAGCACATGCCTGTGGTAC